TTCAGCCAAATAGATATATAAAATAGAGCAAAATTTAAAAATTTACTATATAAAAATACAATGTTTGATGAATTGCTATGCAAAATTTCCTTTTTTGGAACTATAAAAGTTGTATTAGAGTTTTTTGGGATTCTATTTAATCAGTATTGTACATAGGATACATCTATATTATATTCAACATCCAATATTCAAGATTGTCTAAAATCATCCAAGCTTATGTTTCAAGTTTAAATAATCAATAAAGTAATTTAAAAAAATATATAATTAAATATTTTTTTTAGATACTGAACTTATTTATAAAAAAATTAAAATAGATTATCTTAATAAAATTTTGAGTAATTTTAATTTGAAAAAATGTCTAAAATTGTCCTATATACAACACTGCCATCTGACTACTGACCAACTTCAGACCCTGATCCAAGTTATATGAAGTAACACCATATCTGCAAATAAACAAAATACATGATTGCATTTTACTAAGTTTATCTGAATTTAAAAAGTAAACAATGCTGATTTTTTAGAGAGGGTAAGCCAAATTGCTTACTTTTTATCAAAAATTTTGAAGAAAAATAACAGAAACAAGCAAGACTTATAGGAGCAACTACTAGCACTTAACGAAAGTATTTTATTCTTAAAAAGACCAACAACTAATAAACCTTTTTCTAGGAAAGAGGTGAAGAAGCTATACTTGCTTGCCAGTGAGTGATAAACTTTGGGTTTGTTGGCAAGTAGCATATGAGAACTACTTCTAAATGACAAGTGCTGTACATGCAGTGAGTGATAAACTCTGAGATTGTTAGCAGGTAATATATGAGAACTACCTCTAAATAACAACTGCTATCTTATAGTATTTCCAGTTTCATACCCTCTGTTATTTACTACAAGTTACTGTATTTTTAACAAAAATTTGGTTGGGAATTTTTGGTTTTAGTGATCGTCGAAAAGAGTGATTTTTAATCTATTGGTTTATTTGTATAATACTTTCTGTTATCAAAATAAACATCTTGATAAAATAATTATTTTGGCAATAAAATTATCCAAAATAGACCAGTAATAAAAAGATATTACGTTAGAGATTTTTATATGTCCATTAAAAATGCTTTTTTATGCCCAATTAAATTATTTAGACTTGTCCAAATGTCCTTGTTATCTGGCATGTTTTGACGGATACATGGGTATCAGCAGGATAATAGTGGCCGAAGGCCTCGTGCGTTGCAATTATACTGTTGGAATTATCCGAGATACGGATAAACGGATGACGGATTTATCCGGATTGGATCTCTAATTACATAGACAAATCGTTACAGACTGAAAACTATTAACTTTCTTTATTCACTATCAAATACAGTATTATAAATGAATAAATTTTATATTTGGTCGTGTAATTTAAATTAAAATTCGAAAGAATTTGAAGTTGTCACTTCCATTTTATATTACTTAATAAAATGAACTTTCGAATGTTTTGAGATTCGATTATAGTGCTTGTATCGATAAAATTAAATAAAATTTTGTTTATGGACACAAAGTTGATCTGCAGTCAGTGTAACTTGCTCGGGCCATTATCAAAATCTGACTATATTCGAAATTTGAAGAAATTGACTAGTTTTCATAATACATATATACCGGTATATATATATTGTTTCATATTGATTCAGTAATTGAATTTTTATTTGAGCCCGGTATTTCTGTTTTGTTTTTCATATTGATTTATAACTTATTATAAACGAGTTAATAAATTTGATATGCAGAAAATCCGTTAAATGCATTAAAGATCTCAAACACTAATTTATGAAATTTATGATATATTAACGTTAATTAAATAATATTAATTCAAATGTATATAATTAATAATGATAATTTAAATATGAAAAAAAATAGTAAGAATAGTCATGAACGTTCGTTGTCAGCTAACAAATCAAAATTTTTGTTCGTATCGTTTTATGTATCATATGTATGTAGATGTAGAGAATTCCCGTATTTTAGGTTGGTATTACAAAAATCTGAAACAGCAATGGTATATTATAAATTATTGGTTATATTTAGTCACAAAAAAGTCCCTGACCTATTATCAATGCTCTTTAGAAAGTATGTTACCTAACAGAATACTTGTTTAAATAGTTAGTATTTGGAATTTTGAAATTCTTTTGAAATTCTACCCGCAATTGAAAGTTGAAGGCCAATACTGCTAAGCGTATAAGAAAAAATGAGTAAACCAGGTGGGTATCCTCAAGGAGGTCAGGATTCATACTATGGGGAACGTCGCGCTCCAATACCTGCCACCCAGCGTTTTTCTGACAGAAGTTATGAAGATTATGGTCAACCTCAGCAAGCCCGGTCTTCTGTAGCTTCTGAAGCTTCCATGGATGCTACCATTTCACGTATGGCAAGCATGAAGATTGGTGACGATCGTAGTGCACCGATTACATCTCAAGGTTTATATACTCCACAAAGAGTAAATTCTCCTCGTCCTCGTCCTAATCAACAAATGCAAGGACCCCCTCCCAATCAACAAATGCAGGGACCTCCTCCTAATTACCAAATGCAAGGCCCTCCTCCTCCTATTCAACAAATGCAAAGACCTCCTCCTCCTAATCAACAAATGCAAGGTCCTCCTCCTCCTAATCAACAAATGCAAGGTCCTCCTCCTCCTAATCAACAAATGCATAGTGCTCCTCTTCCCAATCAACAAATGCAAGGTCCTCCCTTTTCACAACAAAGAGAATATCCTAATTATGGCTCCGAAGAACAATATTATGGTCAATATCCTCAAGGTTCTGACCCTCCCGTTAAAACACTTAACCAAAACTCTCAGAATTATTATAATAATCAATATCCTCCTCAGGATTATCATCCCAAAGACAGTCAGGAATATTATCCTCGGGGTCAAAATTATGATACAGCATCTATATATACTGAAGATTCATATAATTATTATCCAACTCAAAATTATGATTATGATAATGTAAGTCAAGGAACAAATAATGGCTATGATTATTATCATCGAGGTTATCCTCCTAGTGATGGTTATCCTCCTAGTGAACGTTATCCTCCTAGTGAAGGTTATCCTACTAGTGAAGGTTATCCTCCTAGTGAAGGTTATCCTCCTAGTGAAGATTATTATAATGGTGGTATGAATCCTCATCAATATTATCAAGATCCATATTATCAAGATCAATATTATGGTCCACCAGATGAATATGGTTCTAGACCTTATTATAATCAACCTCCAAGGTCTTATATAGAAAATACAAATAGGTACTCTGGTCAAAGGAATTCAGCACCACTTAACAACGTAGAGGATAAAACTTTATATACACCAGAAGCAATAGAACAATATAGACAAAAAGTTAAATCGACTACCGATCCTGATGCTTTGTTTGCCTATGCTAAATATTTAATTTCAGCATCAGTTACTATTGGTAGAGATGATCCTGCCCCAAAAAATGCAAAAAAGAAAAAAGATATTTTACTTCAAGAAGCAATTAAATTGATAAAACGTTTAGCAACACAAAGTATGGGTCGTCCTTCACATCCTGAAGCACAATTTTACCTTGCAGATTGTTATGGTAATGGTTCATTAGGGTTAACAGCAGATCTTGAAAAAGCTTTTAATTTATATGAACAAGCATCAAAATCACGTCACCCTGCGGCTACTTATAGAACTGCGGTATGTTACGAAGTTGGTGGTGGAACAAAACGAGATCCTCATAGAGCTGTACAATTTTATCGTAAAGCAGCAGCATTAGGTGATACAGCAGCCATGTATAAACTTGGAATGATCATGTTAAAAGGACAATTAGGTCAACATGAAAATCCACGTGAAGCAATTAATTGGCTTAAACGAGCAGCAGCTCAAGCAGATGAAGCAAATCCACATGCATTACATCAATTAGGATTATTACATGCTAAACCAGAAAATGAACCACCAATAATTCCTTCACTAATCAGAAATGAAGGACATGCATTCGAAGAATTTAAACGTGCAGCGGATTTAGGTTACGCACCATCTTGTTTTAAATTAGGATGTTGTTTTGAATATGGACAATTGAGTTGTCCTGTCGACCCTCGAGAATCTATTCGATATTATTCACGTGCGGCCGAAAAAGGCGACCCTAATGCCGAATTAGCATTATCTGGTTGGTATTTGACAGGTTCAGAAACCGTATTGAAACAATCTGACACAGAGGCATATTTATGGGCAAAGAAGGCAGCAGATAAAGGCCTTGCAAAAGCAGAGTATGCCGTAGGTTATTATACAGAGCAGGGTATCGGTATAAAACAAAATCTTGAAGAGGCAAAACGTTGGTACATGCGTGCTGCAGGTATTATCGTATTATCGTATTATCATTTTATTAATTTAATACGTAAAAAAATAATTAATATGAATATTATTAAATTTATTATTAGCACAAGGAAATAAAAGAGCCATGCAACGTCTTACGGAACTAAAACATATGGGTAGTAAAAGTCACACAAACCGTTCAAAACACACACGAGCTCAAGCAAATAAAGAAGATTGTATCATATGCTAAAATTGCTTGTATCATAAATCTCATGAATGAATATTGGATTTATTTAGATTTTTTTTTGGATTTATTAAAGGTTTTAATTTTTAATTTTTTCATTGTATGATATATTATCTTGAATACTGTTAATACAAAATTTTTCTTCTAAAAAAAAAAGCTCTGAAAAGTTTTTTAGTGTATAAAAACTCTTCTTTGTTATTAAACAAATTCCTTAACTTATATTACATAGTTTTATTGAACTATATTAACTATTATTTTTTACAGTACTATTTAAACAAACTTAATCTTTAAAATTATAAGGCTGTTAATATTTACCAGTTAACCTTTTGATGAAAAACCATAAATTTTATTTATTTATAAACATACCAAAATTTTCAATTTTTAATGAATCAGGTTAAAGCAAATAATATACATTTAATTTTACAAATATTTTTTTTTATCGATCTAATAATTACAAAAAATTCAAGCATTAAGCTATTTAAAATTATTTTTCATTTCTCTCAAAGCTCCCATGACATCAACTGGATCACTCTTTCCGGTAGCTTTCTTGACACTATCCACATTAACTCTCATAAAAGGATTAAATTTTAATTCATCACCGATAGTACTTGGAACAGTTTGTTGATTTTTGGAAGCCCATTGAATTTTATCTTTGAGAAATTGATTATTAGGTTCAACGGATTCAGCAAATCTGAGATTGCTTTTAGTATACTCATGACCACAATAAACTTTGGTTTCTTCTGGAAGCTTTCCAAGAACGTTAACCAAAGAGTTGTACATTTGATCAGCGGTACCTTCAAAGAATCTTCCACAGCCACCAATGAAAAGTGTATCACCTTTTATTTATTTGTTTATTCATTTTATTTATTTGATTATTGATTTGTTAGTTTGCAAAAAAAAAAAAAAAAAACAAGTAGGAAAAAATAATAAAACAAATACCAGTGAAAACAACTTTATCGTCCTTGTCTTGCAAAAAAAAACTGACACTTCCTCGTGTATGACAAATAGTGTAAAGAGCCTTTACAACAATGTCTCCAATATTAAATTCTTCACCATCTTTCATCAAATGATTTACTGCAGGAACTCGGTCGTCACCACCATAAACAATTAAATCTTTACGTTGAGAAACAAGTTTTTCATTTCCACCAGAATGATCCTAAAAAATTCTTTTTAATTCAAATAATACAGTAATAAACGAATAAAAAAATCATGTATATATTCATACCGGGTGATGATGCGTTGTGATTAAATGTTTAAGGTTTGCTCCATGCTGTTCAACCACAGGAAGTATCTTTTCAGGTTCTACTGGGTCTACAACCGCAGCTATTAAATAAGAAAATGAATGAATGCGAGCATTTTTTTAGTTAAGAAATAACAATTTTTTTTTTAATTCACTCAAAACTTTTTTCTCAATACTGTATAAAATTAAGCTTGCCTTCCTTTGTGCTTTCGTCAATAACGACGTACGAATAATTGTCTTCCAAGACTGCAACAATTAATATGATTGAAAATGATCGTTGTTACAATTACGAGAGAACAAAAATAATTAATATAACGACGAAAGTTGGTTAACGAAGAAAACCTGGGACCGGAATAACTTTCATTGCGTTTGTATTTGTCTATGTGGGAAATTTTTAACAAGTTTTATGTAGGAAAATCTTTCGATTCGCTATCAATCTTCGGAACCGATAAAGGGTAGATCTGAACCTTACCTGGAAAATCATTCTATTTCCACGTTTTTGGGTCAGAACCGTTTTCAAATTAGATAAACTAGTGCGAAACATCATTAAGAGTGAAGTAAAAAAAAACAATTTTTTAATACAAATAAAAATAAATTAGTAATAAACATGTAAATCTAAATTACTATACAATATACAAACGTAACATGCAAAATCATATACAATACGATCTGAACAATATGGCAATATCTAAACCAAAGTTACACTTCATTTTTCTTTACATACGAACAATGCAACACAAAAGATTAATTCTGGATTTTCTGTATCATATGGAACAAAACATTACATGAATTTTTACCGGTTTTAGTTCGTTTTTAAATAATCAGTACAACAAACCAAGTACTAGTAAACTGAAAAGGAGATATAACTTCCGGTTGAATTTATTATCCATTGGTAAAAAAAATTTTTTTTTTTAAAAAAAAAAAAAAAAAAATCCGTTTCCTGCTATTTCTCGTTTAAACCCCAAATTTTATCCCTCAAAAAATAAATAACAGGGTTATACTGCACGGCAGTATTTTTTTTTTTATCCCGCTTTTTAATACATTAAACGAACATAAACAACCTGAACTTTATTCTTTGGTTAAATCGTATTTATGGCGAATAAAGGCCAGCATACTTCTAATATGAACTCTCAGAGAGTTCAACACAATCTTAATATGCACATCCAACCCCAGCAGTTCCAAGCGAGAGACAGGCTGCAACAGGTTGGTATTATGTAATTAATAAGTTGTAGAACAGGGGCTTTCTTCGGGTAAAGTTTAAGAATTGAAGTTAGAAGTGCTCGGGGTGACTTATTATTATGGTTATGAAAGACTTGACAATCGATAAAATTAGGTTTTAATAGATATAATAATAACGATAGCATCAAAATAAACATTTAAAACATTCCTATATTTGGTATCGTTTAGTTTTAACACTACTTCTTCAATTTTTTTTTTTTTTTTTAATCTATAGAACATTTTTGACGAGAGAAGACCTAAAAAAGTCGTATCACATAGAAAGAGGCCAATGGAGAACGAAAAAGACAGACAAAAAGCTGAATACGAAACTTCAAGGGTGAGTACAATACATAAATAAAATACTCTTGTATTATAAACATCAGTTTTTAATATTCTAATAATTTTTTATTTTTCTTTTCAGTCTGAATTAAAACATCTTTTAGCTCAATTTGGTTCAAAAGCAAAAGTTGCAGACGAACTAGAAAAGGATGTATCTAAACTTCATGGTAGCATAGAAAGTTTATTAGAAAAAGTTCAGGGCAAAGCTAATAAGGTAGGTTTTTTAACCCATATATGTTTATGTTAGTTTCACATTTTATTTTATATATATTTATGATTTATATATTTAAATTACCCCAGCAACCATCTGCGGTAATAGAACAGCGACACTCCAATAGACTTGCAAAAATATGGAAAGATTTTATATCTTACGTTATCTTTCCATTTAAACTAATATTGAATATAATAAGACGACTATATTGTGGGATAAATTGTACAGTAATTCTAATGATTATACTATTAATAGAGTGTTTTGTTATTTTTCTAATTTGGTCGTAAGTATCTTTTTATTTTCCTTCTTTATAATATCAACATATATTTATTCTATATCAATTTATTTAATAGTATTAAGAGATCTCATAATACATACATGTATGTTGAACCGTACGAACCAATTGTGCATGGAACTTATGATACTGATCAAACCGAATCTTGGAAATTATTAAGGACAATAACAAATCTAATATATGATTTCTTTTCTGAAATTTTGAACGGAGGTCGCGGGTTTGGCAACCCAAATTACGATGGATCCGTTCCGATATGATATTAATTTAGATTTGTAGGAAAAGCACTAGATTGTAGATTTTGTTTGTTAATAAATTTTGATTTTGTATATAATATATTAACCCAGGAAATACTAATATATCATAAGAAGTAACATATTCTACAAGGACAATCGCTTAATTTTTAATTTAGAAAAAGAGAAAAAGACAGGATTTTAATTTGTATTATATACAAGGGTCGTTACGGAGGATTACACCTTTTTTTCACTTGTACATATTGTTAAAAGTTTTTTTATCTCCTTTTCTTGCCAAATAGTTTTTGAATCCCCCTTTTTTTTTTTTGAAAAAAAAAATGTTTCTAAATTTCACACTCACATTTGTACACACACACACACATTGCAAAAAATTAAAAAAAATTCTACATGCATTAAATTGCACACATTTTGACTAAAAAGTTGTCAATTACAGGTCCAGCTAACGGTAGACAATATCAAATAATTACAGGGACTAGCTAGTACTTTACTCGAAAGTAGTAAGTTGTAGTAAGTTGTTCAGCAATACTTACCCTCTTTTCTTTCTTGTATATACAGTAGATTCTAAAAACTTTTCAAGTTTTGTTAAACCAATCTCCCTTTAAAAAATCCTATCCAATCTAATATAGTTTTAGATTGGATTATCCGGGGAGTAGATCAAAAATGAACGGATATTGATACGCCCTCATGATCATAGATTGTCATATGATGGGCTACTTTTTATTCCGTACAATTTTTTCTCTATAAATTTAATTAATATATCAATATTAATTACTTTATTTGACAATTAATTGTGTCATTGTAAATAATGAGTTGCTAAATATATTGAACAAAATTAAAAAATTATGAAAGCAATTTATTATAGTTGACATTTTTAAATGCATTTTGAAGGGATTATAAAATTGTAAATAACGCATATATTTATCCGAGAACACATAAATAATAAAATTTAAAAAATCTTGCACACATGAGTGTTGCCAGGGGAAAACCTGTAAACAATTTTTAATTCACCCTGAAAATTAATGATATTACGTAATTTAATTTGTTCTGCAGTGGTTGTTTCGGTACACGAAAAAAATTTGAATACTGATCGTAACACGCTTTAATACCTAATTCATATCGATATATAATTTTCTCAGTAATTATGAAATTTGTACTTTTCAGGTTCTTTTGGTAGCAATCATGAAGATTATTTAAATGATCTTTTAATAATCAGATGTGCTAATCGTACTGTATTTTATTTTATTCCACTTTTGATAACGTAATGATCATCTTTATAAAATCGCTTTTATTTTTAAAATAAACCAATGCACTCAATAAATATGTGATACGATTAGTAATTTAATTTTTAGTATGGGTAATCTTTAAAATTTTATACGCAGCGTAGTATTGATTTTCTGCGCTTTCAATGCTGTAATGTCACACAAACATGTTCTGGCCAGCGAGAAAGTCCGGAAAGTCTACGAGCACGAATTGATCATGTGACATCATTTATGAACACTAGGGTGTCCAGGATTATGATCCGGTAAATGCAAAATTATGCGTGCGGTAAATTGCAAATTATGCGAGGTTTCCAACTATATATAAAAATTTTTTTGTTTTATTATGTTAAGAAAAATTTATTTAAAATTAAACCCGAACTTAAAAATTATATTGATATAAAATTTTTTGACTAAGAGTGAATGCTGTCTGTCATCTAAAATGTTTTTATAAGCAGAAAAATTGCGTTCTACATCAACACCGGAAATTGGAAGCCAAATGTACTTTAAAGCTAAATTGCTTAAATAGGGCGTTTTTTCTTGCCAATATTTTTCGATATCAAAATCTAATTCAAAGACTTCTTCACCACCACAATAAATTTCCATTCCTGAATTAACTGGTTATTTGGCTTGTTGAATTCTTGAATTATTGAATATAAATGAAGATTTCTTTTAGTAGTTTGTTGACAGATCTATCATGGATCAAAACATTGAATTGCCGAAAAAAGCTGGAGTGCTGAGTGTTCATTAATATGTTTGTTAAGCCAATTGAAAAGCTTCACGAAACATAAGTTTGTAAGCTTCAGAATCAATGCTATTTGTATCAAATTCATGATTTATTTGAGTACTTAATGGTGGTTCAATAACCCCTGCCTGCAAAAATGATCGTGTTTGTTCTATTCAAGATGTAACATATGCAAGATTATTTATAATTCTAAATTATATAGTTAAAATAAGTATGTATTATTATAATTAATATATAAACTTATGGTTGTGCATTAAAAGTAATAAACATTATAATGATTTTTATAAAAAATTTGTGCACATTATTTTCAAATAATATGTTTAAATCTTTAAGAGCTTTACTTGCCTTACTACCTGCTAAAGCAATTTCATTAAAAATAAAAGAAGAAAAAATATCTATATAGGAGCCTAGCCAAATAACAAACTTGAGCCATGAGTTTTATTTAGTTTTTACAGGAAGTGGTGAGAGAATAGAATTATTACTTTCTAAGTTGGAACTATTATTATCAAATAAAAGTATAATCAGATTTAATACAGCATTTGAGGCTAAATATTTAAGCCATCTTCTTTTACAAAAAGAAGAGTAAATAAAAATATCTTTTAAATTAGTAACTATATTGTCTAATTCTTTAAATTATTTAAAGTTAACCCATGTTTCTTCTATTAAATTATAAATATATGCCAGACATCTATTATGTTTTAAATAAAAAAAGAATACTATAAGCTTTTTTCATATATAAAACATTGTTAGAGATAAAAAGAATAATATTATTAAATAAAATATTATAAAATTAAACATTAATAGTAAGTTGTGCAATTGTAAAACTATTAATCGGGTTAGAGTCTTATAGCCTAGTGGTCTAGGTGCCTAACTCTCCACAAATAAGGTCAATGATTCAATTATAGCTGGTGGTAATTAATTTAATTAATTATCTCTGTAACCTTCAGGAGCTTTTGAATGCGAAACCCTGTAGCGATAAGATCATGTGATGTATATATTTGGCTGATAAAGAATTCTTGGAAGGAGCCTCAAACCATGGAGAAGACTAGGCACTGCATGTAATATGGGTCATGGAAGGTAATACTGCAGAAGGCTGTATATATAAATCCATAATTGGCAAGGTAGCACCAACAACTCTAAGGTGGCATTGGGATCTTGTTTGGGAGAATGGCTGTATGTGGTATATTCAGAAGTGGTGAGAGAAGCAGTAAATATAATAAGGAGCTGTGGTAAAAGAATGGTTTTACTAAATATGAAATACCTCTGGCACAAGGAAACAAGGAAAACCGGCTAAAAGAAACCCCAATAAGCATGGAAGCAAGCACTTTGATAGTATGAAAATAAAGATAGCCAGTGAGTAATGTGTTGCACAATCTATATGAGAGTTATGAGAGCATGACGAAACATGGCAGAAGCATGGGTCTTGGGTTACTGGCTTGTAATAGTAATTAAATGAGGTACTTAACTCCCGTCCTAAGGATCTAAACTTCTGTAATATCATACCGATAGGGAGTACTATAAAAGGAGCAGTAGTCTAATTTGGTAGTGTACGACACGAATACCTAGATCGATATGAAATAACACCCTAGTACGGCAACAGGTGGCTTGAGATACAAGTTTTATAACTTGGCAGCATCTGGCTTAAGATATAGATTAGGTTCTTAAAGTAGCTCCTCAGGAACACCAAACTGGAAACATAAAGAGCACCTACTTGAAAAATACCAATTTGGAAATAATACAAGAAATAAATTAGAAGTAATGTGATAAGTGATGAGAGATAGAAGTTAGTTAGTAGACATTGTACAGTAGTATATAAGCAGGATATATATAATATAATTAGGTTTGGGAACTATCCAGTAATTTAGTAATTGGTCTACAGAGGTTGCCCAGAATTATAACAATCACATGACCAGCGTGATTACATAATAGCTATTTAGCATGTTGGCATTAGTAGTTATATAACACAATCTCGGGGAGGTAGATCAGTGATAGATCTAACAGATTATATTCTAGATTGATTCTAGAATAATCTTTCGATTTTTATTGGTTCGCGGTTGTTGAAAATTTTACTTATACAGTAACCAGTATATACTGAATTTTTATGCTTTCCGCTATTGCTATACATCTTGTTAGGTTTTAATATTTATTCATGCTAATTGTTTTGTAGTGTCAAGAAATGGTTGATTACATTATTATACAGAATGCACCAAAAGGATCGTTATAGCAAATCTTGTACAGATGTCACATTTGGGATAGAAAAATAAGTTAAATACTTACTGCCCATGAACTAAATTGTTGTTCCACTCATACATCACAAATATATGCAGTTTTACCATTTTCTTATTCGTACCAATTTGCTTCAAATAATTAGCTTTTAATAGATTTCTACTAAGAACGCTATAGTTCTCTTTTTTGTAGTTACATTATCTTGAAGTTCCAATAGCTTTTTGACCGCAGCTTTTGGATATTGAATCGGTTCATTCACAGGAACTCGTTTACAGAGATTTACACAGTGGAAATATTTTGCAACTTAATTTGCAAAGCGTATATATCGCCGATTTTGGACTTTCTAATAAAGTTGTGAAATTCTGCTATATATAGCACTTGAGGTTTTGATAGATCAACTATACATTCAGGCATCAGATATTTATAGTCTTGGAGTTATGATTATAGAAATTTTGATCAGATATCAAAATTATCAAGATTTATCAGTGGGTCAAAACCTAAATGTTTAGGACCAGATTGTTATATAAAATGTATGGTTAAAGATTTTAATAAACGACCTACTGCGACAAAATTTTGAAATAATTACACACTGGTTAGATGAAATAGATCAGGAAGATAATGAAATCGAAAAAAAAAATTTTTTGGAAGCTGATAAGATCTAACCAAAACCGATTAAACAAATACAACTATCAAGACTTATATACTAGCAAGATGTATTATACAAAAAATTTTTAGAATGTGTTAGTCAGCCGACACGAATTACGAAGGTTTGACAACCC